GGACTATACGAGTTCAATAGGGCTCCGTTCGGCTTTTGCAACTCCCCCGCGGCGTTCATACGATTTGTCAATTGCGTGTTCCAAGATTTAATCACTCAAGACGTAATGCAGCTTTACATGGATGATGTCATCATCCATGGCAAAATTTGGCCCGGTAGCGAAAAAACAAACGCCGTCAGAAATTTTTCCACGCCGAAAAACATTAAAGCTGTCCAGTCGTTTTTAGGCTTAACGGGGTTTTTCGAAAGTTCATTAGAGACTATGCACAGTTGGCGCGCCCACTGACAAACCTTTTGAAAAAAGACACGCCATTCCGCATCGAGGCAGTCGAGCTAAATTCGATAAGGCAATTAAAAGACGCCCTATGTCGGGAGCCTGTTTTAAACATTTACTGTAGAAGTGCACCTACGGAGTTACATACAGACGTCTCAAAAGAGGGCTTTGGCGCAACGCTTCTGCAGAAATTTGACCAACAGCTGCATCCTGTATTTTTCTGGAGCAAGAAAACGTCGCCAAGTGACTCCAAGCGTCACAGTTACATATTGCAAGTAAAAGCAGCTTATTTGGCTATACAAAAGTTCCGCCATTATCTTCTTGGTGTCAAGTTCACGTTGGTAACAGATTGCATAGCATTCACGCAAACCGTCAGGAAAAAAGACGTACCACGAGAAGTAGGCCAATGGATTTTGCACCTGCAAGATTTTAATTTTGAAGTTGAACATCGTGCTGCAGATAAGTTAAAACATGTAGACTGCCTAAGCCGTTATCCGAGTGTTTTCGTCGTCACTGCTAGTATTTCAGCACGCTTGAGAGTGGCTCAAGAGAAAAATAGTTTTATCAGCGCTATTCGAGAGATAATTAAAAACGGTCCGTATGACGGATTCAAATTAAAGGGCGGTATTTTGTGCAAGAGTGTCGGAGGTAACGGCCTTCTAGTTGTGCCCAGGGAGCGCGAGATAATAAGCGAAGCACATAACGTGGGCCACTTCGCAACACAAAAGACGGTGCACGCCATACGGCAAATGTTCTGGATACCCCACCTTGAGCGAAAAGTAGGGGAAATAGTTGGCAGTTGTGTAAGGTGTATAATAAACAATAAGAAACTGGGTAGGCAGGAAGGGTATCTACGCTGTATCGACAAAGGAGACCGGCCTTTACATACGCTGCATGTGGACCATTTGGGCCCTATGGACTCAACAGCAAAGCAGTACAAGTTTATATTTGCTATGGTAGATGGCTTCTCAAAGTTTGTGTGGCTGTTTACGACGAAATCTACTGGTTGCGAAGAAGTTATCAAGAAGTTGGACGAATGGTCAAACATATTTGGCTTGCCTTTGCGTATAGTAAGTGACAGGAGGGCAGCGTTCACATCAAACGCTTTCAAGGAGTATGTGAGCGCAAACGGTGTAGAGCATGTTCTACCACGGGTGTTGCCCGTGGCAACGGCCAAATCGAACGTATCAACCGGTCTATTCTCTCCATCATTTCGAAGCTGTCTGCAGAAGATCCGTCTAGGTGGTACAAGTTTGTTCCACAAGTCCAAAAAGCAATAAACTCCCATATTAGTTGCTCCACCAAAAAATCGCCCTTTGAATTAATGTTTGGTGTGAGAATTCAAATCAAAAGCAGCGATAGGTTACTCTCATTGCTTGAGCAGGAGATGATAGATGACTTTGAATTGGAAAAGCAAAAGGCACGAGCGGAGGCCAAAGTTGAAATACAACGAGCGCAAGATGTTTATAAAAAGCAGTACGATAAAAAGCGCAAGGATGAGTACATGTACAAAGATGGTGAACTTGTTGCGGTGAAGCGTACGTAGTCTATCGCTGGCAAAAAGCTAGCAAGCACATTTCTGGGCCCATATGAAGTGATTAAAGTAAAAAGCGGCGGTTGTTACGACGTTAGAAAAGCTGCCCAAGTGGAAGGCCCAAACGTTACGAGTACGAGTGCAGATAATATGAAGTTGTGGAAATACGTTGAGACCAACGAAGATTTGATGACGTCCGAGGCTGACGACGAATAATTAGATGGCCGAGTGTAAAAGGTTAGACTGGCAACCCGGTCAACAGCGAACTGTTCCCATCGAAAGGAGTGAAACGAACGTAGGCGGCAGACAGGCGGTCGAGAAGATTAGAAGAAGAAAGAACGTCGAGACAGTTGAAAGTTGAAAGTTGATCGAGCGCGAGAGCGTTTTTTAAGTCGTTCTAATCCAATATACATTTTGAACTGTAACATTATTCCGCAAAACTGATTTAATTACTATTTGAATTACATATATTTGTCAAATTAAAAGTTATTAATAAACCTACATTTTTACATACATATACACATACATCAGGGGTGAACGCAGGTAGGGGTTTTTGGGGGTTCAAACCAGAACCCCCTCCGAAATGCTTGCGGAAAATTTTATGAAAATTGTGTTTTCATTTAGTTAGTTTTGTAAACCAATACACCACTGTTTTTATTTCCGTAAAACTGTGTATGAATTTTCAACTATTTTCGATCTGCAGATAAGGAACAAACATAGGTGAATGAATACGAGGTTGGGTACAACAAACACATCATTTCGACAATCTTCTGAAATTCTCAGATTCTCTGGTGACACCACCTTCTATTAATTCGCCAACATAATCTCTAAAAGTACTACATATTTATAAACTACAGGCATATTTATCTCTTTTAATTTTAAGGCTTTCGAAGCTTTCGAAAGGGTAAAAATAATTGGCCTTAAATTGTTTCTTTCAACATTTTGCATATTCAGTATCATTTAGGGCTGGTTTCTCCAAATCAACTTAACTAAGTTTGGCCAATTTTTTGGACTTAGTCAAGAATAAGCTGAATAAAAAGTATGCTAACTTTTGACTTAAGTCCATAAAATTGCTAAACTAAGTTAACTTAAGTTGGAGAAACCAGCCCTTAAAGTTTCAACCTGAACGCGGTGCTACTGATCCATATTTTGAGATAAATTTAATTTACCTATTTGGGAGAAAAAGTGTACCTACGGAGCATAGTTTAACAACATTCCTAGACGCTTTTAATGTTTGCAATCAATCTCTATACAAGATAAACACGATTTTACTTGGAAGAACAATAAGATAAAAAATTAAATTTCTATTATTTTTCAAACTGCCAGCAGTGAGATTAACATTAGTATACCAATGCTAGTGGCATGTGCATGTGAAATGAGCATCTTTGCAATAGTATATCGATGAGTTTTTAGCCAATAAAACTTAAAAATGAAAAATAATGGAAATTTTATTTTGTATCTTGATTGTTGTTCTATGTAAAATAATGTTGATCTCTTAAAATACGATATGGGGATCAATGAAAGTATACAAACAAGTTTGTTTATAATAAGTTTCAAAAAGTAAATCAATATATAAATTTTAGCTCTAAAAAACAAGGTGTTGGTTTCTTAAATTTGATGTAATACTCTCTTTGTGGGGAATTTAATTCTCTACAAAACTGCTTTAAATACTTTTCGTGTAAAACCCTGTAAAATGTCAAACAGTAAAATTACTCTCTGAAGTGAGGAGAATAAAGTGTGTAACAACAAAAAGTACGTGAACAAAAAAAGCATTTTTCCTGTAAAAACGGCAACCAGTGATCGCTTGACACTTTTCATGATTTTACCAGAAGAAAAAGTTCGGGTAAAATCTTGCAACTTCATTCTCTACACAACTCTCCAAAAATCGCTCTCATTTGCAGGATTTTGGAGGAATTTGGAGTACGGGATAATTTTTCCGGACACTTCCTGCAAGTTCATGTAAAAACCTGTAAGTTAATGGAGTACTGCATCAGAGCTATTATTTTTTTTGTAATCGACAACGAAATTTTGATATGGAACAAAACATTCGTTTTATTTGGCGCAGTCTAATACATACATATATACATTGGTCGAAATAATTATATTTTGGCAAGTTTTGACATACTATTTTTGTTGTTATTTAATTTGGTATTTTTTTGGTAATATAGTTCATTCTTTAACAAAACCCGGGTAAATCCAAGTTTCAAACTTTGTGCAATATTAAAATAAAATTCAACAAACTTTATTAAACATTTCTAGCTTTTTTAATTGGATTTCCTATAAAGATTCTGAGTATGTAGTTTTTTAACCCATTGAATTCTAGTAGAATAAGGTGCAAGTTTCAAATTACTAAAAATTATCGTTGATTTTTTTTAATTTTTTTTTTGTGTCGAAGAGGTTACGGGTTTCTTCCATATAAAAATAAATTGTGTGTATTTGTTATATGGAAGCAAATATTAAAAAAAAAAAATTACCAAAATTAAAAAGCTACAAAAATAATATGTTAAAACTTGTCAAAATATGGTGCGGCTATAATTATTTATTATTATGATATACATACCTAAGTGGGTGGTATTGCAAAGCAGACATTGCTTAACGCGTACATCTCTGGATCAGTCACCTGCTTATCCTTCCAAAATGTTAGAACGTTTGCGTCACTTCTTAGGAATGGAAGCTGCAGATTTTTTATTTTTGTATGTAAATCGGTAGCAGTACCAACGTTAGCTTCAATATCTTGCGATAAATATTCTTTTAATAATTCATCTTCATCATCAAACAATTAGTTGGTTATTTGATGTGCACTTGAATTCGGAGTTGAACAGTTGAATATTATGGCGCAGCAAAGTGTAAGTGAATAACAAATTTTTGTAAAATATAATTTATTAACGTAAATAACTTGATTTTTATAGGAAATGAAAAGAATTCGTGAAGCTAATTGGACTGCTGCTGAAAAGACCTCCTTGCGGGAATACTCACATCAACGTCATTGAGGACAAGACCAATGATGCATCCATGATAATAAAGAAGCAAAAAGCCCAGAAGCAAGCAGGATAGCGATGAGTGCTGCGGGATTTGACAGAGATTTTCCCAAATTTGATGAAATTCGCTGTCAAGGAGTCTTTTCGGGCAGAATGGAAGGCAGCCACAGAAACCAACAACATGGTTGAAGTGCCAAGAGAGCTTTATTCAGAGCATGATAGCTCCTGCTCTAGTGGAGGATACTATTTTAATTGATAGAAACACTTCCCTCGTCGAGCTGCCCAATAACGACAATTCGCTGGTAAGTGACGTAGCTGATCAAATGTGCTGTGAAATAGTGGAAGAAGTTCCAAACTACAACATTGAAGTTGAAGTCGCAGCGGAGCAGTGGTAGATTTCAAAAAAATGTGGTAAATCTCAGGTTTCGGATGAAACATTGTACAAAAATTTACATTTATAATTAAAAAAAAAAAAAAAATTCTGCAAGGTTTCACCTAAATTGCCAACATTTTAATTCGAATTTAAAACAAAATTAATTTTAGTATAATAAAGTGTAAGATTGAAGATGTTAAAAATTGCGTTGAGTTTTGGCAATTTTTTTCCTTGACAGTTTCGAACATATTTTGAAAGATTTCTGCAACCTTTCCGAGTGCTGCCAGCTTTTCTTTTTATCACATCACGATGTAGCGAACAAATGTGGCTCGTTCCAGAAACCGCTACTTGGGATTTGCAGATTTTGACAATTCTCAAGTAAAAGAAAACAACGCTTTAGAAATTTTAGATGCACTGAAATTTGCTAATACTTTCACAAAAATCCCCGGTTTTTATCATTTTCGCTATTAATTCTCTTTATAAATCATATATTTTGCAATTTAACCAGGGTACGAAAATAAACTATATTGTACGTTACTATTTCGTTTCGTTTATTACTTCAACAGTTCAGTACAATACGAAAACAAAACGGCTGAGTTCACTTTGGCGACAGTACATTAAAGTAGTTTAGTAGTTACAGACGAAACAACAAACGAAATGAATCGTGCAGAGAAAAATATATGTACATATGTCTTTACACATATGCAATAACTAAACACAAAACGAATGGCTGCAATGAATAAAAAACTAAAAATGTTTTTTAATTGAATTGGATATGAAAATTTACAAAAAAAAATATTTGTCACGTAATTGTAACGTTTGTGATATCACCCTATGGTACAATTGTCACAAACGAAAAGCAAACGTTTCTCGTTGGGGAAAATGGCAGTGAATCTTACAATTTGTTTCTGACTATGTACAAAACTGTACAAAACCACAAATGATATGATGATCGATGAGCAAATGGGAATTGTTTTGTACAGTTTAATTTCGTACTCTGAATTTAACACAATAAAACCACGTTTGATGCCGAAAAATTGAATATTGAGAAAATTTACTATTTTACAGTTTATTTTATCCTCCCATTCTGCCTGTTGTTAGTGTTTAGTGTTGGACAATTTTTGCTCTTAAAATTAAGAAAATTATGTCGAGCAAAGATAAAACTACTCAAAAACGCGAATATGTGGTGGATTTCAGACCTTGTGTGGTAGATGTGGAAGATGCTCAAAAAAGTGGCAGATATACCACAATGTGGTAGAAGCTGGATCACTGCAGCGGAGGCACCAAAACCAAGGAAGAGTTCTCATTGCCAACGTCTGCGGTAAATACCAAAATATAAACGAAGCGTGGTTGAAGCAGGCAGCGGCAGATACAAAAGGTAAATAAGCATAAAACTACTACATATGCACATTTTTAATTAACTCCAACTTTAACTGCAGGAGTCCTCGAATTCTGATGAAATTCACATGCTGCAAGCTGAGCTTCTTCGAAGTCAAATTCGGCACCAGAGAGCTTTGGAAGACAACGAAAGGGAGTTTCATTATCTCAGCATACAAAATGAGCAGGAATTGCAATCTCTCCGAGTGGAGCTTCACGGCCAACAAGTTGCAAGGCTCTCAGGTGCAATGGTATAAATGATTTCATGTCAAACATATGTACATACATATAAAACAATTAATTTTTAAAGGGTTTCACGATTAACTTTAAAATCATTGGTCCAGCTACATCACGTGTGGCAAATTCTTATTATTGTGCAGCTTGACTGGGAAATTGAGATTGGTGCTTGATTCACCTCACCGGTTGCTGTGGCTGCCTTCCGTTCTGCCCGAAAAGACTTAATTCGAGGCTTTTTTTCCTTATTATCGTGGAAGCATCATTGGTTTTATCTTCAATGATGCTGATGTGCGATTAATAATAATAATAATAGATTGGCGCTTACACATATGTTAGTGTTTGGCCGAGCTTCTCCTCCGACTTGTGGCGTGCGCCTTGATATTGTCACACAAAGTGGAGGGACCTACAGTTTTACGCCGACTCCGAACGGCGATTGTATTTTTTATTAGAAGCTGTTTTTCATGGCAGAAATACACTCGGAGGTTTGCCATTGCCTGCCGAGGGACGACCGCTGTTAAGAAAAAACCTTTTTTCTACATTGTTTGCGATGTTGCTTTGACCAGGGTTTGAACCCAGGTGCTGCGGAGTGGAAGTGCGCACTGCTTACCACTACACCACAGCGGCCAGTTCCGACGTTATAGCTGATATAAAATTCCATGCCTATTGGATGTGCCACGCCCCCTTTTCCAAACTCATATATACCCTAATATAAGTACCTACTATTAAAATGGCTGCGTACGAAATTTCAAGTTCAAGCGACTTATAGCTCCTGAGTTATAGCTGATAAAACATTCCAGGTCCATGGGACGTGCCGCTCCCCCTTTTACAAACTCACTTATATATAGCCTACTATAAGCACCTGCTACAGATACGTCTGCGTACCAAATTTCAATTTTGCAAACTCAGTTATATATGCCTTACTTAAAGCGCCTACCGTAGATATGCCTACATACCAAACTTCAAGTTCTTGGGACTTGTGGTTCCCAAGTTATAGTTGATAAAAGGGTCCACGCCTATGGGATGTGCCACGCCCCTTTTTACAAACTCATGTATATATAGCCTACTGTAAGCACCTACCGCATATATGTCTGCATACCTAACTTCGATTTCATGTGACTGATGGTTGTGAAATTATAGCTGATAAAAATTTCCACGCCTATGGGATGTGCCACGCCCCCTTTTACAAAGCCCTTTATATATACCTTACTGTAAGCACCTACCATATGTATGTATGACTGAATAACAAATTTCAAGTTCATATGACTTATAATTTCGGATTTATAGCTGATGAAATATTCCACGCCTATGGGATGTGCCACGCCTCCTTTTACAAACTCATTTATATATACCTTACTGTAAGCACCTACCATAGTTATGTCTGCATACCAAATTTAAAGTTCATGTGGCTTATAGTTCCGGAGTTATAGCTGATAAAATAATCCTATGGGTTGTGCCACGCCCAATTTTTCAAACTCATTTATATATACCCTACTATAAGCACCTACCATATGTATGTATGACTGAATAACAAATTTCAAGTTCATATGACTTATAGTTTCGGATTTATAGCTGATAAAATATTCCACACCTATGGGATGTGCCACGCCTAGGGTGGCCAGATGCGCTGATTTAATACGCCCGACGTATAAAAAAATCCCAAAATGTTCATCTTTACACATTCATGTTTCTGGCATGCGGGGGACGATATGTACTTGCCGATTTGTTTTACAAAAATTATTTAAAAAGCAGACGTCTCGGTTGCTCAGCAAACCGGTTAATCGTTTCTGCAATTATTTCACATTGATTCTCTAAAATAAATTTTCGATGTATTCTTTAAATGCATAAACCTAAAGGTAAATTTTATTGGAAAAAGTATATTGAAGTTGTGAGTTTGACTAATAATAAAATATAGTTTTAGTAATAAAAACCATAACCACATTTATTTAAAACAACAAAATAAAAAGTAAATTTTGTGTTAAAATTAAAAAAAGACCGTATACGCCTCGCAGACGTAGATTATACTTTTAGGGTTAACGCTTTCAGTACAAAAATTCAACCACTGGTTCTAAAAAATTTGAAATATGTACACCGGCTAATTTTGGATCGTTCAATTTAAAAATCTCATACAAAAATGTGTAAAGCTTTAAGGTTTGCGGTCATTCAGGATCCTTTTTTAATGGTCAGTGATATCCTAGGTGTTTAAGGGATCTCAGCTATTTTTATTTTTTTGCTTTCGTGAAATATATTTCAAAACTATGAATAATACCTCATAACTTTTCCGAATCTCAATTCCACGGAAATATGGTTAATATTTTTCAATAGATTATACTCACTATCGACTTTTCTGGCGCTTTTTACTTTTTTGACAAACACGGTCAACTGCAACTGCAGGTTGCACTTTAGTTTGATATATAGCTCAATTCTGTGGCTGCTACAGATCGGCCTAACTAATTCGTATGACTGAGCAATTATATATAGATACTAAAGGCCTGAACTACAAAACATAGCGACATGTAAAACATCATGCAAGTGCCAGTTTATATCATGTCGCTTATACATGTTTGAAAGTGATATATGAAGACATTGCCGAATAAATTCAAATCAAATCATGCATCAAATTTATGCATGTCAACAAAAGGAACACATGCAACATATTCAGCATTATTATTTACATTGTATATACGGCCGCTGTGGTGTAGTGGTAAGCCGTGCGCGCTTCCACTCCGCAGCACCTGGGTTCAAACCCTGGTCAAAGCAACATCGCAAAAAAAATATAGAAAAAAGGTTTTTTCTTAACAGCGGTCGTCCCTCGGCAGGCAATGGCAAACCTCCGAGTGTATTTCTGCCATGAAAAACAGCTTCTCATAAAAATACAATCGCCGTTCGGAGTCGGCGTAAAACTGTAGGTCCCTCCGCTTTGTGTGACAACATCAAGGCGCACGCCACAAATCGGAGGAGAAGCTCGGCCAAACACTAACATATGTGTAAGCGCCAATCTATTATTATTATTATACGGGAAGAGATTTTCCGAATTTCGCAAGCTCCTACTATAGTAAAATTTATTAAACAATTATCTAATTAAAAATCTATATACCAACGGTGGGCAAACGTGGCTCTTTGAGCCAAATGCGGCGAGCCCTAACCGCCAAAATAACGTAAGCGACATTTTTTTCAAAATTTTAGTTTTGATGCAGAAATGCATCTAGACGCTCTAGGAATATTTCTGCATCAAAAAGAAAATTTTGAAAAAAATGTCGCTTACGTTATTTTGGCGGTTAGGGCTCGATGTATTAAATATTTCTGCATTAAAAAGAAAATTTTGAAAAAAATGTCGCTTACGTTATTTTGGCGGTTAGGGCTCGATATTTCATACATATTTTACATACACACATATTATACATATAAATACATATCTTAGCCCACAGCAATTTGCCAACAAGAAAAGAGCTGATCAAGAAGAGCTGGTTGGAATTTACGCAAATCCCTAAATTGAATTTTATGGTTAGGAAGTTGAAATAGTAAAATGCGACTAATTAAACTTGTAAGAAATAGGTGATTATTCGTTTAGTCAGTGAACTGTGTCAGGATTTGTTTTCTTACATTTTCAATTTTATACTTTTTACAGGTCTATTCTGCGCTGGTAACATAAATTTTATAACCGGTAATTAAAGTGTCTGTCAATTTATAAACCTTTTTCGCATTCTGTGCTCTCTTGTAACCGGTAAATTTGGTTACCATCTCATAAGCTGGTAGCAAAATATTGCCCCGTGAAATATGCAATACAGGAATTTCCACAAATCTTCATAGCTGAGTTGCTGAATATTTTCAC